AAATCTGACGAGCAAGCATACCAAAGTCGTCATCGAGCCTCCAACTTTCATCCACATCGTCCGGACTGATAAGCCCATCTACAAACCTGGACAGACTGGTAGGTGGAGTGAGTGTGGAGGTGTTGGAGCTGTTGTGTTGTAGAAGGAGCGATACGCTACTGCAGCACCGTCTCGTCTGCACTGCTTACCCATTCTGCTGTGCTTGCACATTTTTGGTCTGATATATCTGCATAATGCTGAGCCACCACTTAATAACTTGATAACTTGAGGGTTGTTGTCTGTTCAGTGCACAGAAGAAGAGTGCTTTCCTAGAGAGAGGCTGTTTATATTTAAAGTAGGAAAGGCCTACATGCTGAGTGGGTGAAGAGAAAAGGAGTTTATTTGACCACTTAGTGCCGTCGAGTGCTAGTGCAGGCTGCTAACTCCTGAATAAGTCTGATTAAGATACGATGAGCTAGTGGAGTTTAACTTTTTTGGGTATTCTGCAACTTCTTATGACAGTAAAACAAGTTTATTTTTTAATAGCATTGTCATAGTGTTTCAGTAAGGACTCACGACGACGTTATGTTTCACGAGTAAAAATCAAAAATGAATTTGACCCATATAACAGTTTATAAACTGGTGTCAGTCTCAACAAAATGAGCTTGTCAGTCAGCTTCTATAAACAAGTTCAAAGCTATAACCACAAGAATACTGTAACATATATATTTTTACCTAAATCAATCTGTCTCATGCTTTCCATTTGCAGACACAGGTGATCCAATCAGAAGTAACATTACACTTTACCGTGTCACTGTGAAACCGGCTTTCAGTTGGTATTATTTGGCCAGCTAAGCCACGCTCGCCAAATCGCACGTGGAATAAAACATGGATGTAGCTGCAGCGTCAGAAAAATGAACCCGATACAGAAGAGCCTTAAACCTGCATTCTGTCTGACGGCCACCAGGTGGCAATAAATTTAGTCTGTTTTGGAAATCAAAGGCTACGTTCACAGTGCAGGCGAAAGCGCATCAAATCCGACTTTTTTGACCCTATGGGACCCGTATCCGAATTATTAGGCCAAATGTAAATAACAAAATAACTTTATAACTTAGAGCAAAATTGGGAAACGTAAAGTCCGAAACAGTCAAACATACTGTTGCTCTGGGTCTAAACAGGGCGTGTTGTGTGTGACGTCTGCTTTTGCGCATGTGGCCGCTTTGAGCGTTCACACTAGAGCGCGTTTGCTGTCGCATTTTATTTGTAGTGTGAACGAGCAGACAAAAAAAATCGCATTTGATCAAAAAATCGGAATTGAGCATTAAGACCTGCAGAGTGAACGTAGCCTTAGTCATACCACATTTGGGGGGCAACCGTGGAGCAGGGGGTTGGGAAGCGCGTCTGTAACCGGAAGGTTCGATCCCCGGGCTCTCTGTCCTGGTCGTTGTGTCCTTGGGAGAGACCGCCTACTGGTGTTGGCCAGACGGGCAGATGGCGCCAGTGCCCGGCAGCCTTGCTTCTGTCAGTCTGCCCCAGGGCAGCTGTGGCTACAACTGTAGCTGCCTCCACCAGTGTGTGAATGTGAGAGTGAATGAATATTGGCATTGTAAAGCGCTTTGGGTGCCGTGAAAAGCGCTATATAAATGCAATCCATTATTATTATTATTTTTATTTCAAAACGGAAGATCATTGGCTGTGTCACAGTCAGACCCGCCTTTCCTCAACACATCCATCTTTCGTAACCAATGGCAGAACCACTCAGCTCAAGCTGAGGTGACGTCATCAGTAGCTAATCCTTAAAGATGTTTTGGGGTTTTTTGGTTTTTAATGTATTGCCTCCAACAATAGGCAAATACATGTTAAGATATATTTTTCTGTGTAAAAAAGGCTAACAGCAACCGTAGACTTCTCCGATACATATTCCAGGTCACTGAAACTCGGGCGGTGTTGATCTGATCAGTTAAGTATCAGACAGGGTTGTTAATGAAGGCAACAACCGGTGTGCTACAGGGACAACAATGAGCCAACTCCAAAAGGCGAAAGGTTTCACAGCTGAAGGTCACTGACGTTTTTCCCTCTTCATCTTTTCTGACTGTTCCACTAGTTTTGAATTTGGCTAGGGTCAGTGTCACTACTGATACCTATGGAACTAGTGTTATTAGTATTCCAGTATTATAATTGTCAGGTCCACCGCAGGTGCCCAGATGAGCTTCAGGTTCAGCCTGAGCACATGTGACAGTTGTAAAAGGGTGTGGGCTAGCTGTGGAGAACATGCTGCCTGTAACATTGTTCTGCATGACTGGAGGCGTATCCATGGAGGGACACACAGACCTCGACAGCATCCTGACTGTCATTAGGAGCCATTCTCAGGCCCTAGACTGGACACAACAATGCCTGGCAGTATGAACTGATACCATGGACTGGCACCTACGTTCACCTGACCGAGATCCAACACCAACACCTCTGGGACATCATGTTTCAGGTGCAACTCACACTGTCCAGGAGCTCAGTCATTCCCTGGTCCGGATGTGGGAGGAGATCCTCCGGGATGTTGTCAGGCATGCAGACAAGCACGTGGGGGTCGCACAAAGTGCTGAGCACCGTTGCTGCATTTCAGTAAAACAAACTCGTCTTCACCATCATTCACTTTGATTTTCAGGGTTTTTCTTTATTCTGCCGTCTGCAGACTGATGATTCTCATTTCCATCAAACGATGGGGCATCCTTTCCTAACACGGTGACCAGTCTGTATCAGTATAGATATCAACATGATTTATTCATTTTCCCCACTGAATCTGACATGTGCCCCGAATTCATTAGAGTATAAAGAGAGACTTGCATACACTTTGCTTTGCTTCTTTTTAGTCCGTCTGCTATCACCAGGATCGTTTTCCCTTTGTCTTCTTCTTCCTCTCATTATCCACTTGTGCAATAACTGAAAATACAGTATAGTAATGCATTTTTTTTCTTTCTTTTAAAGTCAAATTCCGGATCGTCTCCATGGATGCCAATTTCATCCCTGTGGAACGAGTGGTACGTTTCTATCCACTTGTTCTCGTCTGTCAGAATCATGTGCCGCTGTGCCATTTGTGGAGTCATTTCAAGCAGCGAACTTGATAATGTGCTGTGATTTGTAGCAGGCAGTCAGTGAATCTGAAGAGTAAGGTCTATTTTGGTTCAGGAGAGTGGGAGGTGAAAGGAAGGCTGTTTGTTGATTTTGAAGACAGCGTGGGTGTGGAGCGCTGTGTGGAGTAGTGTGATAAACATGCTGTCAGAGTTCATTTGGCGCACACTACATTTGACCCAAACATCTGAATCAATAGCGGCTCAGGGCCTTTTCCGCTTTTGGACGAGAGGCTGAAAACACGACTGCACGCAGTCGACGTGAAATCCGTTCAGATGCATCACATGATGAAAGTAGCTAGCTTGAAGGTGGTAACTCCCACCAGCTGTAGTGAAGACGTGGCATTGTGAGACTTTATCTGCCATTATGCATCTGCTCTTTCCGGCACTCTGGAGATGTAAGAACGAAATAATTGAGGCCAAAATATCACGTGTGCCAAAGGTGTTACAGAGGAACACGGTAATAAATGAGCCGTGGAGGGGGACGTGTGTTGTTTGACTCTTATCGTCCAATTAGGAAATAAGACCTGGCAGTGGTGGTGTTGTTTCAGGGTGTGGCGCCTTCACATCTGTCACTATGTGCTTGCTGAGTAATTGGGTTCTGCTGTGTGATCTGAACCGGGACCTACATGCATACTGACTTGAAAGTCATTGCAACAGGAAACCTTACTGATGTTTCTAATAAATTGTCCTTATTGTGTTAATTCTGTGTGCAGATAAACTAAATGCAAACTCTTCTTTTTTCCTTTCAGTATAAAGAAGTGGCGCTGCAGGTAAGAAACACTCAAATTGGCATCTCTTCTGGGAACTGCTGACATGTCTGTTTGGCTCTTTGAAAAGATTTTGCCATTTGTGCCTTCTGTGAGAGTAACGGCAAAGATGCAGGAAATGAGGCGATGGAGGGAGGGCTGTATGACATGTAATTAAAGTGCAGACTGCTCCCTGCACCCCCCCCCCCCCTTTCTTCTCTGGGGTGGTGCTGTTTAAGAAGATATCCAATCTACAATAGTCTGTTGTAGATTGGATATCTGCGCTGCATTGTTGTGAAGACTAAGAAGGACTTTAGCTACCTCTGAATCACAGACCTAATTACACAAGCAACCATCAGGAGGAGGACTATAATAGGTTCTTTTCTCCACACGAGAGCTCGTTAAGATAAATGTCACTCCAGTCAGTTTGGGCGATGTTTGGATTGCACTGGTCCCTCCTGCAGGAGCTTGTCCTTCTTCCATGCCTGGCTCCAGGAAGCACTCTGGCATGCCCGTCTCAGATGAGGGATCATGTGTGTGTGTTGTTGTTTTTTTCTCCCCATGTCACAGGGCTGACCCACAATCCACAAAGAGCACAGATTATCTGGTGGCTGGCTTGGAAACATCTCTGTGTGCCCCAGCAGAGGAGCTGGAGGCTGGAAGCTACGGCCTCGTTTGATTTGACATCCCTAAATAAATTCTCCTCTGTCTTTACTCTGTGTAGGATCCTAGCTCAAATCGCATTGCCCAGTGGCTGGATAAATCTGTTGTTGGCGGCATCCTTGATCTTTCACACCCCATGATTCCTGAGGCTGTACAAGGAAGCTACACCATCACTGCCTTGACAGACAAGGGAGAACAAATATCCCACAGCTTTGACATCAAAGAATACGGTGGGAGGGAAAAAATGAAGCATCTTCTCTTATAGACCGGAAATGATTACGAGCTCAGTCTATGTAAATTCTCAGCTACGGGGAGATCTGACTCTGTTTCCTTTGCTCTAGTTTTGCCAAAGTATGAAGTGAAGGTTCATCTGCCCAGTGTGATTACCGTCCTGGATCAGGAGGCAGCACTGAAGATTTGTGGAAAGTAAATGTCCCAGTTGAACAGAAACTGGTGTTCTTGTCTGTGTTGGTTCAAGGAAATCCACACTGTGAAGAACTGCAGCTGGGCAGCGCTGGTGCTAACAACATTGTCGTTTATTACAAAAGATGGGTCTGGATTTGTGGGAACAACAAACTGCCTGTAGCAATGATGTTTTCCTTATTTTGTCTGTACTTTGATATAATAGTACTTTTTACTAGAGGAATTTGAGTATTTATATAATTCATACTATTAACAGTGGCCAGCTGGGAAAAGGCAAAGCCTCTACAGGAAATGAAAGATCTGAGGCTGGCTAGACTCTGTACCAGTCATGTTTCTGGCAACAACTAACATCATCCGGCCGTTCTCGTTCCAACAAATCTCATCTTTGTATGTTTTCTTAACAGATACACGTATGGGAAACCTGTTATTGGTTCGGTGAAGGCACGGTTCTGCAGAAACGCCATCCGTTTCTTCTGGTTTTCATCTCCCCAAAACAAAGACCTCTGCAAGACCTACGAACTAACTGTGAGTGTTCCAGATGTTAACAGAGACGCTAACTGTACTGCAATCAGTCCTTTTCACTGATTTTACTTTCTTGGTGTTCACTTTCTGTGATCTTCTAGACGGATAAAAGTGGATGTGCTACACAAACTGTGAACATGACGGCGTTTTTCCTCCACAAGAACATCTACAGTGACACGTTTGAGGTGACTGCTGAGATGGAAGAGTATGGCACAGGTAGGCAGACTAAAAGCCGACTGTTCATCAACGTAGCACAGCGAATTCCTGATGACCTGCAATCTGTATGCTAACTATCATCTAGGCGTCATTCTTAAAGGCTACGGGCAGACCAGCTTCACCTGTGACATCAGAACTGTCACCTTCGAGGATGTACCTGAGGCATACAAGCCTGGTATCCCGTTTGAAGGAAAGGTAACCAGACTCATCCTGCTGTCAGGACATTGCACAGCAGGATTGATGAGCTTTTCATCTGATCCTACCGTGAGGTGGACGTGTTTCTCTTGGAGCCCAAAAGATTCTAAGATGACTCTAGAATCTGGACGATGTAACACTGCATTTGTTACAATGTAACTAGATGTATGAAATAGTATTTAGGGATGCTTTGAGTCATGCAGAGGAAGCTAATCAAGGGCAATAACAATCATTATTATGGAGATGTGTGAGTCTTGTTACAACTTCTTACTCTGTCTTGTTCACAGATCAAAGTTGTTGGTCCAGACAACAAGCCTGCTGCCAATGAGCCAGTGTACTTGTTTGTTGGTAGCTCACTAAAACTAGAGCTCACCACAGACGTGAATGGCGTGGCTTTGTTTTCTCTGGGCACGTCTCTTTGGAAGGACAGTGTGCATCTGAAGGTTGGTTGCTGCCGCTGCCTGCACTTAAACGTTCATCAGTTATAAGGTCGATAGACTGTGATTGATCACATCAGTCGTACTGATCATACACCCACGCTGGCCTACATTGTCATGAAATTAGTTACTTTTTAATATTTTATTATTTCCAAGTGTCTAACCCAGTGTTTCCAAACCTTTTGGAGCCACGGCACATATTTCACGTTAGAAAAATCACACGGCATGCCAGCAGCAAAAATATCACAAAAAGCATATTGATCATTTTCCCCGCACATCAGGTATAGCGGTATTGGCTCTGTTTGTCCCAGTTACCTTTTTGCTTCTTCTGACCACTACTCATGCTACGGCCTTCATCTGGGTCAGAGGTTTCTCCAGGACCAGGTCTACTTTTTCTTTCAAATATTTATCTATTGCTATTATGCGCTGCGCTGTCTCAGTCACAGCACGACTATTATGTAATTTCTTCTTCATCTTCTATTTTGCTGGCAGTTGGCAACAGATTTAATTAGAGCAGGTAGTTGTAGTCCTGTGGAAGATCATGTAATTGTTCTGCCCATCACGGCGATCACTTGGAGTACTAATCAGATGGAACCAGACAATCTTCCACGGCACACCTGATCATTTCTCACAGCGCACTGGTTGGGAAACACTGGTCTAATGTGAAGAGTAGGAATTTGATATTTGACCTCACTTTGTCAACAGGCGAGTTCAAAAAATACAACGGAGCATGACCATTATGTTTATGGTTTGAGGAGACCCAACTACAGGGCAAGCCACCACCATGTCACAGCGTTTTACTCCAAGAGTAGTAGTTTTCTGAAGCTCATGCAGGCCAGCAGTAAGCTGCCCTGTGACAGTGAAGCGACTGTGCGTGTCCAGTACATCATCCAGGGAGAGGAGCTGGAGAAAGGGCAGGAGGTCCTCGACTTCTTTTATCTGGTACGTGTAAGGGATTGTGACGTGACCCCACCCAGTGTTCATTGAAACACGATTTTGGTGATCTGCATGAGAATTGCTGTTTGTAGCTTCAGTCTAAATGATTTTTCTCTAAAGACTTTTGTGCACATGTTTGAGATGTATTGCAGATATACATAAACACACCCTCATAGTGACGTTTCCGTTCTGTCTTTCTTTGCAGGTGCAGTCCAGAGGTTCAGTAGTGCAGCATGGTCGTATCCCAGTGGCTGTCAAAGTGGGAATTGGTATGAACACGACGAAAGCTAATTTTGAAGTATAAGTCTGTGATTTTAGAGTTAGACGTCCTATGGAAAAAGCCCTTTAAAGTTGCATCAAAGCATGTAGGGGTGAGGTTGGGGTGGTAGAGCAGGTCATCCACTAATTTCAGTATTCTACTATTAGCTATCTAGCCCTAATGTCAAAAAACTATTAAAGTCTGCATCAGTGCACTGCGTGAAATATACCTTTACTT